GGAGAAGCGGTGCGTCGGTGCAGACCCGGGATCCGAACCCGGGCCGCCAGCAGCGGAGCGTGCGCACTTAACCACTAAGCCACTGGGCCGCCCCTGTTTTTCTTTTGATTTAAATGATGTATACTAATGTAATTGTGTAGATGGCATCCCAAGAGGTCCCTAAAATGCTTATGTCTATGGAGATGAAAGATGGGTGGGGATTGAATGAGTTAAAGATATTTTATAGAATCTGATCTTAATAGAAGTTCTTTATATCACGTATCTAATTACATAATTGCATAGTTTCAATAAAACAGTTTTAAAGTATTTATAGTTAAACAACTTTAAGCTTCAGTTCTGTTATCTTGTTTCAGAGTCTTCAGTTTCCAAAGATAAAAGTGGGCTTCTGTTTTGTTAATGTTTCCAGATATGATACAAACAAAAATGATATTTATAATTTATGTACATTCACCCTATTCTCATTTGTTTTTTTCTTTCCAGCTGAGTTTATCGATGATATTGAGTTAATGTTTTCGAACTGCTTTGAGTACAACCCTCGTAACACAAGTGAAGCAAAAGCTGGAACTAGGCTTCAGGCATTTTTTCATATTCAGGCTCAAAAACTTGGACTCCACGTCACACCTGGAAATGTGGATCAAGTTAGCACACCACCGGCTGCCAAAAAGTCACGAATCTAATTTTGTCCTTCTAAAGGATGTATTTGAGGAAAACAAATTGTTCATAAAAATGGAACATTAAATCATGCTTTAAAGCAGACATACATGTATAAAGCAATAACAGCTGATTGACCACATTGAAGTGTGGCCTGCACTATATTCTTAATTTTTAATATTAAGCACTCAGGAGAATGTAGGAAAGATTTCCTTTGCTACAGTTTTGTTCAGTATCTAATAAGTTTGATAGATGTATTGGATACAGTCCTGGTTTACAGAGGTTTTTGTACATTTTGAGATCATTCATGTGTCCCAATATCTTGGAAAATATTTTTTCACCTATGATTTATTTTGTCATTGATAATTTTTTAGAAGTGTGGTATTAAGGGAGATTTATCTACACAGATAAATCTGTTATAGCACAGTTTAGAAAAAAGTGTTTATGGCTAAGAATTGTTTAATGAACACATTCTTTCAACACTATACATGAATGAATCCAATTTTATATCCTTGAAGTGCTGTACCAGTGCTGGCTGGAGGTATTAAGTCTGAGTTTATTAACTAGATATTTATTTAGCATTCAAAGTAATTTGTGAATTTGTTTTGTATTTATAAAATTTGTACCTGGAAAATGTTCTTTAATTTTTTAAACATTTTACTGTGTTTTTGTTTCATTTCTCTAACTTCCTTAATGATCAGTTAATAAAAGGTAACACCCTCCCTTTTCCCTGACAGTTCTTTCAGTTTTACAGAACTGTATCATAAGTTTCTATGTACAACTTTTTAAGTGTACAAATAAAAGGATACATTTTTTTCAAGTATTCTGAATTTCTGGAATTTTTACAAATCAGAATTGGACTTCTAATGTGATACATACAGACCACAGGAGCCAATGTTGTATTGTACCCGAG